CTTTTGCATAGCAAAAACACATAGCATTTTGTGCAGTGTATTTGATTTTGAGAGTTTTTTTGGATGCATTTCAAAGAGAATATAAATTGCAAGCATGTTTTTGTCAATCAGAGCCAGGTGCTGCTTTGTTGGGGGGTTCTGCTGGTCAGGTTTTGGGGTGTTCCTAGCTCTGTTTTAATCTGTGCAAGTGTTGCTCTGGCATGGGAAGGTGCTGATGCTGGGAGGCACAACAACTGTCTGAGGAAATGTTAAGTGTTGAGATGGAGAGGCAGGGACAGGGATGATTATCTGTGGTACAGAGATGGAAGATAGAAAAGATCCATGTACATGAGGAGCTACAGCTTGTTACTTCCATATGCTGCTGTACAGTGGCAGAAATACAATTTTGCTGTCGCAAAGAAGAGCGTTTACAAGCCTCTTGCATGCAGAGGAATGATTCCTGGCCCAGGCCAAACACAGCCATCCTCACTGTGCAACTGCAGCTGCCATGCCAATGGCCTGGTGAAGCACTGCCGTTTCTGTGGGTAGCCCTTTTTCTGATCCCAAATGCCCCCAAGTGAATAGGACTCTGTTCAGAGAAAGCATTGCACTGCAGAGTTAGAGCTTGACTGAGATTTATGTCTGAACAACATTACACCATTTTGGCAGTGCCAGCAGGTCAATCAAGTGGGTATAAATGAGAACCAGCATCTGAGGCAGCTATAAAAGAACAAGGAAAGCTCTGGCAGCTGAGCAGTGAGTATTTGGTCTGCAGTATTTTTGTTTCTTTTCTTTTGGTTGGCACGTTGTGTAATTTATATGGCAGCTTGAGTGTATGCAGTGCTTTGTAACAGATAAAACATTCTACTAACCATGAAGGGAAATAGGACGTGAAGAGACAGAGAACTTTGCAGGTGGAGAGGATGCTTCAAACGTATAGAAAATAAGAAAAAGGAAAAAAAAAAAAAAAAAAAAGAAAAAAAAAAGAAAGCCACTGCAGAAATTAAAGAAGGTATTCAGCTGCGTGGGAAATGGAAAAGCAGCAACACTGAGACAGGCTGAAGGAGGAGAGAGCAAGAGAGGGATGGTTGGAAACAAAAGACTATTATCTTGCCAGCAAACATAGAAAAGGAGAGGGAAATGGAGGGTAGCAAGTAATTTAGGGAGGAATCAGCAGCAGTAGCTGGTAACACTAAGGAGAGGCTCTCAGTGATGGTCAAGTATGTGCTGCTTAAGTCCAATTCCAATCCAGCATTTCCACAGGAAATCATTTTCTGGATTTAAATACAGTCCAGACTGAAGAGATGGATGAGCCTGAGCATCCTTGTAGGAGTGGGTGGTCAGGGGGCATTATGACACAGAGGTTTGTGTTCACTCAGGACAATGCAGACAAAGTTAAAGGATGCAAAATGTCTTTCTATGGCTTGATGAAACAAAGAATAAATGGATGATGTGTGTCTGGAAATAAAAGGTCTGTCTTAATCTTTCCTTCTTTGCTTCCTTCCTTCCTTTATTTTTTCTGGTCAATCCAAGTGCTTTATCATATACATGCAACAAAATATTGAGTTATAAAAAGTTTGCAAAGTTCCAGCTGCCATGACATGCTAACCTAACCCTGTGCTACCACTGGGAGTGATGCAGAAAGCAGCCTTTTCTAAGAAAACGGAAGGCTGGTAGTGATCATTATGTATCTGGCCTTGTTGCTATGGAGCCAAAGTGCCAACGTCATCTCGTTAGGTGGGAATAGCCATTACCACGAAATAGCAGTTTAAGATTTCCTTGTCTTGAATGCATTTGTGCAACTTTTGATAGCTGGCCTCCAGCCAGTGTGGTAAGAATGAATATTCTTATGAACACTTACAATGGAAAATGTTGTTGGGTAACTGTAGTGTGATGTTTACATAACTCTCCACAGATCAGTTTTATTTGTATTAAGTCACTGCTTTAATATAATTTGGAGTTCACAAGGCATAAAGCATTGCTTATTTGGAACAAAATTTGGATTTTTGTTGTATGCTTCATCCTTTAAGAGCCACTCTGAGTGCATTACCATTGTTCCTTGCTTAGTTTTAAGGGGAATAAGTCTGGTTTTGATCAGCTTTCTCCCTGTTCTGCCGGGGATTTCTGACTGATAGCTACATTCTTTTTGTTCATGAGAATGAATGAAAGATCATCTTAATGCATTAAAGATAGATACAGATTGCATATAGCTCCACCCACATTCATAACAGAGAGATGTTCAAGCAACTCTATTTCAGCAGTGTTGAAAATACTCTGTTTCTATCAGGATAACTCAGTTCGCTTTTTCAGAATAGACTGAAGAGGCTCAGAGTATTTCATTTGATGTCTCTTACTTTGTTGGGTCTATGCTGATCAAAATTAATTACTTCTGGCTTGTACAACTAGGTCAGATTAACATTTTCTCAACTTTAAGTCTTCTTTGAAGAAACCACACTGAATCAATTCAAAACAGATAAGATATGCACATGAGCTATTCATTTCACATTTTTTTTTCTTTTTTTCTTTTTTTTTTTTTTTAACTGAGAGATGTCCGTTCGCTTATCGGAGGAAAATCAAAGCTACTTGTCATCTGGACGTAACTAGGAAAACATTTAACTTCACAAAGAACAGAAACTGCTTATCTGTGATCTGTTTCACTTTTCTGAAATCTGTTTGATTAGATTTTCTACTATTTCAATAAACCTAATAAAATGAGTCTGGAACTTTCCTGATGCAATCTACACTGGTATTTCAGCTTTGCATTCTTATAGAGTGCTGGCACTGCAGGCTTGGGAATTGTTCATACATTTTGGTAATGGTTATTTTTATACTAGAGGCAGTGTTACACTATATGTATTTTTGAAGTTATAAAGTATGGAATATTCATAAACCACTTCCCTGCATTCATCATCCTGTTAGTTTAATGTTTTAGAGACGAAAAATTGTAACTATTGCCAAATGAGCACCAGCTGAGTTCATTCCACTCTGCATCTCTTTCCTCTTCTGATGGGTGAGATAATTAATTAATTAGCTAATTGAGAGTGATGGGCTTAATATAGTCAGAATCATGATTTGGGTCATGGAAGATGCAACTTGATCTTCATTGTAAAAAATCGAGTATAGATGTTCATGACTGGGTTAGATCTGAGACCTGACTATCTTCTACCTGGCATACTGGGCTTTGCTCTTTTATTGCTCCTTGTGGCAGCACCACACAAGAGCATACAAGGGAAAGACAGCTGCAGAAAGGAATGAGTACAAGGGAAGAAGCACCTCCTTGGTAGTCTCCTGCATCATGAAGAACCATGAGGCATCTAGAAGCAGGGTATTAAAGGTTCTAAGTGCATGTGAGGCAATCTACCCAGCTCTAATTTTTACATATCAACGTTTCACTCAAGCTGGAGTTTCCCGATATACCTCAAAGACAAGTAAAACCATAAACAAAGTACATTGCTGGACTTCTGCAAAGTGTTTGATGCCATTTCCCACAGCCTTCTCCTAGAAAAACTAGCAAGATATAGACTGGATGAACGGTCTGCAAAATGGGTAGAAAATGGGGTAACAGGACAGCCTGAGAGGGTGATGATCAGTGGTTTTACTAAGGCTAGCAGACTGCTACAAGTGGAGTCCCAACGGAATCAATAATGGGCCCCATGCTCTTCAACACAGGACATCCCAAGCTCAAAGGGATACACAGGGATCATGGCATCCAACTTCTGGCTCCATACAGGATCACCCCAAAATCCAACTATGTTTCTGACATCATCGTCCAAATAGTTCCTGAACTCCGGCAGGGATGATGGGACTGAAAACACTGTCACCAAAACTTGCTGATGACACTAAACTAGGTCATGGCTCATAATCAGCTTCCTATCAACCACAACCCTCAGATCTCTCTCTGTGGGGCTGCTCTCCAGCATCTCATCCCCCAGTCTGTACATAGAGCCAGGGTTGCCCCTTCCCAGGTACAGGACCCTTCACCCAGGTGCCCCGAGGGAGCCAAGGGGGTGCAGTGTGTGCCCCTTCCCCACACAGGAGATCCTGCAGCCATGCCAGAGCCCCAGGCCCACTCCCACCACCTCCTGTAGGCTGGGGGTGGTGCTGCCCAATGGAGATGTGATCATCTTACTCTACTCAGCATTTGTCAGGTCACACCTGGAGTGCCGTGTCCAGTACTGGTTCCAAAAGCTCAGAAAACACGTGGACAGACTGTAGATAGTCCAAAGGAGGGTCATGAAGATAAATGTTGAAAAAACTATGAGGAAACTATGAGGAAAGACTGATTGAGTTAGGTTTTATCACCCTCAAGAGGGGAAGGCTCAGGAGGCACCTCATCACAGCATGCCAATGCTTAAAGCTGTAGTGGCTTTTTCCTGCTGGACAGCAGATCTCCACCACAACTGCTCTCAAACTCCACCTCTTCTAAGGAAAAGGGGAAGATAATATAATGGGAAGGTTCAAAGGTTGAGATAAGGATAGGGAGATCACTCACCAATTATTGTCACAGGTAAAACAGACTCAGCATATGGAGATGAATGTAATTTATTGCTTATCAGTAGCAGCCTAGAACAGTGAGAAACTAAAAGCAAACTCAAAACACCTTCCCCATCCCCCATACACCTGGAACAGGTTGCCCAGAGAAGCTGTGATGCCCCATTCCTGGAGGTGCTCAAGACCAGCTTGGACAAGGCCCCGGGCAACCTGATCTATTGGGTGGCATCCATGCCCATGGCAGGGGGCTTGGAACTGGGTGATCTTTAAGGTCCCATCCAATCCAAGCTATTCTCATATTCTATAATCTTTTAAGGTCCCTTCCAAATTGTGCTTATTCTATAAGGCAATTCAAAATGATATCATCTGGGAGACATAAGGTTGAAGTCCAAGGCTAAGAGAATATTATGGAGGGCAACCTTGATGACTTGGTCCTTGAATGTCTCTAAGGACACAAAAATGAAAGCACACAATCACACATCTTTTTTTTCTTTTTTTTTTTTTTTTTTTTTTTTTTTTTTTTTCTGCCATGTAAGATGAAGCTTGATTTAGGGAGAGGGCAAAGAGAAACTCATTCTCTTGAAGAAAGAGAAGAAATACTGTCTCTTTAATGATAACCAAACATTTAGGTAGGTCTCTGCCTAGCTATGCAGCCAAGGCTTTGCCACAGGACGTAGCTTCCAGTATCATCTCAGGTACACCTGTTGAATAGTGCTACTGGCCTTTCACCTCCTCTTTGATTTTTCTCTAGAATGCCTGCCCTTCTACATGCTATCTCAGTGTATTTAGTGTATTAGTTTTCACTAAGAACGCATATGTTCAGGATTTCAGAACTTTAGCCCTTCCTTTCTTGGGATAGCTCTGAAGATTTTCTGCATGAAGTTTGTAATGCTCTGTTATCTGAGTCATTCAAATGTCTTTGCAAATTGCATTTTCATTTTGAATGCTCTTTTATTTCTGCATTTAAAGCAGGAAAATATTGCAAATAAAGGAAACATAAATCTAATTTAATTAAATACTTAAGCTTGTAAGTCCTCTTTAGGTTTCTGACTTCTTGCTAAAAGATACAAGTCTTTAGTTGATTTGGATATTTGTTGGTATAGGGTCTACATTTTTTCAGATGGTAGAATTAATAGATTCCTGACTCCCACACCTTGTTTCACAGTAAGCATTGTTTCCTTTTAACTTCCATTTTTCAGCTTTGAGGGAACACTTCATTGACATGTTCTGTGCTGAATAAACTAAAATGAATAAAGCAGTCTTTCTGTATTTGCTGGGGAGGCTGAATCTGTCCCCAGACTGGATTATCACTTCAGTAAACTGTATCCAAGTCCATTTTATTGTTTGTTTTGCTTTGTGTTTATAATCTTCTTTAAAATATTGTTAGTAATTATGCACTGTCTGGATCTCCTCTTTTTTTCTTTGTGCGAAGTAGGTTATTAAGGCACAATATATTTAAGCTTTAATATAGGTTGCCAAAATTTCACACTTAATTACCGTTGCATGTATTTTTAAGAGAAAACAATGTAATTCAATTACAAATCACACAACTATAAAATAGTATTTCCTTTAAAAATAAGTCATCCACTCTTTTTCTGTCTTAATATTTATTCAAAACTCAGGGTTATTATGCTACTTGAAGTTTCAGGGGAAAAAATATAACAAAGGCACATCAGTATCAGCACATCTTGCTCTTAGATACAAGAATCTGTTGATGGCTAACTTTGTTAAAGTCAACTTTCCCAGTAACAGTCAATTTTAGTGTGCAGCTGGTAAATGCAAAATTGATTTTGTTTCATTTCACTGGATGATCACTTCTAAATTAGATCTGTGCCCATTGTGAAATTTCACATCGACAGATTACATACTTAGAATGTTGCACTTTCCAGCCATTGCTGCTTAATACAGAGCAGCCCCTTATTTCTCTCTGCTATTCTTAATGAAGTGAAAAGCCTTTACTGTGAAGATCCTGTTTCTGATCATGCTGCAAGTACCCTTCACACTGGCAAAAAAAGTTATACTCTTTGCACTTGTTGACAACCTGGCCCAAAGTGCTTCAGAAGCTCTCCCTGAAACACTGGCACAGGTTCATCTGATCCTACAAAATGGAAAAAGTCTGTAACTCTATTCAGAGTGCTTACTGAGCAGGTATGGCTGACTTTTCAAGGAGAACCGTGCTTCCAATGATTACTGCTTGAAATTACTTTTTTTTTTTTTTTTCTTTTCTTTTCTTTTGCTTGCTTTTTATCTGCTTTTCATCTTCACATCATCAGCAGAAACAGAAACAAAGGTGCTAGTGGATGTGAGGTGGGGGTAAAAATATCCTTTCAGTGGGATTTTCTTTTTGCTGAAGTATCCTCCAGCACTGGCCACTTGCAGTGCTGTGGGGGTGATGAATCTGATGTGTTTGAGCAAACACATTATCCATGGGCAGGCAGCTCTCATCATGGACCAAAAATGGCTGTGAAAGCTTAGGCAAGTTTTGGGGGCTTGCTGCACTCTCTATCTCTTTATCTATTTCTCCCTCCCCACCCTACTCCCCACCCTCCAAAGTAACAAAACTAAATGAAACAAAAATAAAAACCAGAAAACAAAAGCCAATGGATCCAAGACAAATGAACCACTTCATCCGTATTGTAAATGCTACAAACAGCAAGGAGAACTGGTATGGAAAAGCAAGGGAAAAAGAGTGTGCCAGGACCACACAAAAAGCAACTGAACCTACTTCTTCACCATGAAACATGGAGATGTGTCCTGTGTAGTCCCTTATGTAGTATGCCCATGGGGTTTCTTCTTAAGCTTGGCTTGGATCTGCTCTGTCTATCATGCAATTGTCACGATCTGCATATCCCCATTGCCTCAGTATGTGCCAGTTCCTTGTCACCTTCCCAACTTTTTGAAAAATAGTTTGATTAGGTCTGTGAAGGTCTGTGAGTATGTTTCTAACTGTGAAATTTGTGGTGTCTCTTTGCGTGAGGGATTAGTTATGTTGTTTAACTTTGAACATATGAAAAGCCAAACTGAACATGAGTTTTGTGTTTTGTTCTGAAAATAGTTAGTTCCACATTCATTGTCCTGCTTGCAAAAGCCAGTTCCATAAGGTCTAACAACTGTGCCAACTCTGCCCCCAGGGCTGTCCCTCACCCTGGCACATGGGGAAGCTCTTGCACGTCCCTAGCTTGCAGTTCTTCACCAGTGTCTAAAGAGCCTTCAGTATTCTATGAGCCTATAGGTCACAAAAATAAACAGATTATTGAAACAAGCAACAGACTGTTGACATAACCATAAAAGACAAAGCAGCAAATCTCTTGAAGGGACAGAATGAAAGGGAGCTACAAAGAAGTCTGTTTCTTCTTTCATAGTGTCTAGAATTTGTACCACCAGCCTTCACTCACACTGAACACTCTTTTTGCTATTTCATATTTATTTATTTATTTGTTTATTTATCCAAATGAATTGCCAAAATATCCGTGCACACAGTAACCTTAATAGGCACATTTTCCACTTAAATATTGCTTGTAATTTTTGAGCGATCCCTTGTGGTGGATGCTCACTGTTCTATATGTACCAAAATTTCTTTGCAAGTTACCAACAAAGCTCAAGAAAAAGATATATAAAAGTGTGGAAATCTGATATTAGTAAGAAAACATTCTCTTACTAGAAGATAGGGAGATGTAGCCAGTGGTATGCTCAGGTACTACTGTTTGACTGGACAGTGCCTATCTGCTGTGTTTAAAGAGCTAGTCCTAGCTGACATGAAAGACAGCATGAACCAGAGGCTGGAAGATGTTGTCGGTGTTGGAGCTGCTCCTTTTTACCTCTGTCAAGTAGGAGGTTAAGATCAGTGAGAATCTCCATAGATATCATCTTCTTTTCATTTGACTTGTATTTCTATTTTACCTACAAAGACAGTGAGTGATGTAGAGGACAAGACATATGAGAAGCAGCTGAAGCCCCTTGGTGTGCTCAGCCCCGAGCAGAGCAGGGCGAGGGGAGGCCTCATGGCGGCCTGCAGCTCCCTCACGAGGGGAGCGGAGGGGCAGGCGCTGAGCTCTGCTCTCTGGGGACAGCGACAGGACCCGAGGGAACGGCATGGAGCTGGGACAGGGGAGGGTCAGGCTGGGGGTTAGGGAAAGGGTCTGCACCCAGAGGGTGGTCGGGCACTGGGACAGGCTCCCCAGGGCAGTGGGCACAGCACTGAGCCTGATGGAGATCATGTGGTGCTTGGACAATATTCTCAGACAGGGATTCTGATTTTTGGTGTGGTTCTCTGGGGACTCAGGAGTTGTATTCAATGATCCATGTGGGTCCCTCCCAAAAGGGTTATTCTATGATTCTATGCTCTTATTGTTCCTAATTTTGCTCTGATTGTTTCTGACCTGAAGAACAGGATACATCCCTTGCAAGCCTAGTCTTCTTGTTCCACCTATACTAACTAGCCTGTTAAAAGAAGTTTTTTCCTTTCCCACAGACCTTTCTTCAACTATGTCCTTAGACCATAACAGCTGCTGCAGCACCACGATTACTTCTGTGACAGGAATTTGAAAAGGTTTTCAACTGATGACTGACAAGGCAGGTTTTTACAGGGTACTCCTTGGTGATTGTTACCTTTTAATGACCTGGAAATGATAAGAAGTGACAATTACTGTGATATGCCCAAAGCAAGTCTACTATTATCCTATTGCATCCTACAAATGGTACAGAAAAAGGGTTTGTGATACATTTAGACAGTAAATGAACCACAAAATGCACGTGAGAACTGTGGCACAATAATGACCAAAAATACATTTTTTAAACCTGTTATGCCAGTCTTAGTATAAACATAGGTCAAAAATTGCATACACAACTGATTCAGTGAGTTGTAAATTGGTCTCTGGATTCTTCATTTTTTTGTCATTTGCTTGAGAAAATTTTTAACTTTTTCCTTGTCATAGATTCATCTCAGACAGATTTTTGTTCTGATTTTGCAGTTCATGTACAATATATCGAGAGGCAAAATGCCTGAGCTTCTATGAGATAAAAAGAAGGTTTTGGAGTTTTTTTTAGAACTGATGTGAACAGCCTCTCTAGTACTGTACGTTTTTTGTTCCCATCAAAGCTTGTCCTTTAAGTGACCTTTGAAATTTCTCCCCCAGATTGGTTACGCACCTAATTAACATTTAAAAAAAATCTGGGCAAAATGTGCAGAGTATCAAGTATTTCTGAAGGTGGGTTAGAAAATGCAACATTCACGAAATCCAAGAAGGTGTTAGGTGTCTTTCTGTTACAATTGTACTCCTATTGGCATCATTCACAAGCCCAATACTTTCTATATGTGTACTGGAATAGCATAAACCCCCAGAATATGAGGGGGAGTTGCCTAATTACTTGTGATTTTAGCCCTATTTCAGTTGAAATCTATCCAGATGCAAATTACAGCATGCAACGACATTGATTAAACTCCCTGGAACATGGAGTCCATAAAAATGAATGGTTCGCATTCATATGCGGTTCTTTTTATCTTATGACAGAAGAAGTACAAGTGATATTCTTAATTCATGTAACTCTATACAAATTATGGATGAAAGATAATGCAAATATTCTTTGTTTTATCTGATTGCTCCAATAGTTTCTTGAGAAAAAAAAATGTATAAAGGAAGTTGCTTCCATAAGATCGGAGAGGAGCCTCAATTTTATTATGACATGCTGTATTTCTCAGTAAAGGGAAAAGTATTTCACGCTTTGTTGTTTTGACCAAGGCATGACAACTAATCTGTGGTATGTAGCAGCCAGACAACCAGCTTGTTATATGCCTATCACTTCACTATGGAGCATGCCTCACAACACAGATATCCTGACTGCAAAATATCACAAGGGTTGTTTCTCAGAAATGCAATACTTCTGACCGATCTTTAACTTAAGACTGCAACAGCTGGAACTACCATGTAAGAACTGCAAATACACACCAGAAATACTCTGTTAAGGTAACTGAGCTTAGGGACTAAGGTCTATTATTAACATCAAATTATTAAACTATTGTAGCTGTTAGAGATATAGAAATAGCCCTGTTTCCTTTCTCACTAACCTCAAAAGCTACATTACATTGAAAGTTCTTAAATGATTCTATAATCCAGGTCCCATATTTGTGACTCCTTTTTCAAGTTGCAGGTCAGGGAAAATAAAACAAGAGGTCAGTATGCAATTAGGGATAAATAACTAGCAAAGCAGCAATACAGGTCTTTCATTCCACATGGCTCAAGTACATCTCTTTTCTCTGACAATATGGTTGCTGTGTTGGTTCATAAATAACTTAACTTCTGCTCTTTTCTATCCAGATTTTCTAATGGAAGAAGACTTACCTAGTGTCATTGACCATATTCCTGCCCATTTATTTTTGATGGCTTTTATCTCCCTTCTCCTTCCCAGTCACCGTTTACAGATTTCAAGTGAGTGCAATGCCATACAGAAGGAGAGATGTGAGAAGTCAGCAAGGGCAGTCCTACAAACTTTTTTTGAAACTCAGTGCCTGTATGGAATAGAGGGAATCAAATGAGTAGCCCAGGGAGGTAATGGTGGGCAGAGCTTAGCTGTTATACATTGCTTTTGGCAGTGGCTGTCTGCCCAGTCAGCTCAGGGTTACAACACCTGCTGTCCCTCATGGAATGGAGAACAAGAGGGAAGAGGTGAAGGGGGTTGCTGGGATCTGGGGTTATTACAAGTAATCTGTTTGAGGGGAAGGTTATGGGCAATGCATACAAATACTCAGAAAATGAAGCTTGCTTCGTTGTCATTCTCATAGCACAGCTCATTTCATTTCCTCAAATACTTTTTGATGATGTATATACTTTCTGGTTTAATCTTTCTCGTATTTTCTTATCTTTTGTAACAACTGCTTTTTAAGTCTGCTTTGAATGCAAGTTTGATTACATCAAAGTAAGCCCTTACAAGTAAAACTTAGGTTATACAGGAACATATTTGTAAAAACTGCATTTGCATTTGAGGAGAGCAAAATACAGCTGCGTTCAGATAGGGCCACTCCTGATTTCAGCATAGCTTCCAGGATTTCACTCGCAGTTACATGTGTAGCTAATTAATGGCAATGTTCTATAAATCCGGCTAAGGGGAAGTTTGACTCAGAGCTTATTAACTAAGATGAGTCTTTATTATAATTACATGGACAATAACAAGAGATCTCTGTGTCTCCTCTCTATCAGGCTAGCAGCTCTCCCACTGGTAACTATGGCTTCATTGTATATTTTTGTCTCTTAAAGGGTTGTTACACACACACTAATCATCAGTATAACAGGAATCTTGAGGCTATCATTGAAAATCTCCTATAGTAGGCAATACTGATAGGAAATCATAGAATCATAGAATTGTCAAAGTTGGAAAAGACCTCCAAAATCATCTGGTCCAACCATCCCCCTACCACCAATGTTGCCCACTAAACCATGTCCCTAAGCACCACGTCCAACCTTTCCTTGAACGCCCCCAGGGACGGTGACTCCACCACCTCCCTGGGCAACCCGTTCCAGTGCCTGACTGCTCTTTCTGAGAAGAAATGCCTCCTCTTTTCCCACCCGAATCTCTCCTGGCACCATTGAGGCCATTCCCTCTACTCCTATCACTGGTTATCTGTAAGAAGAGGCTGACCCCCAGCTCCCCACACTTTCCTTTCAGGTAGTTGTAGAGAGCAATAAGGTCTCCCCTGAGCCTGCTCTTCTCCATACTAAGCAACCCCAGTTCCCTCAGCTGCTCCCCATATAACTTGCTCTCCAGGCCCTTCACCAGCTTCATAGCCCTGCTCTGGACACACTCCAGGGCCTCGATGTTCTTCTTGTAGCGAGGCGCCCAAAGCTGAACACAGGACTCAAGATGCGGCCTAACCAGAGCAGAGTACAGGGAGATGACATGGAACATTTCATTAGCTTTCCTTCACAATAAAAAAGAAACCCATTCTTGGCTTTGTGCAGACATCATGCAAACAGCTTACATGACATGCTTAAACTGCTGTTCAGGTTACTTGCAGGATTTGGTTTGGATATAAACAGCAGCAGGCCAACAGTCTCACAAAATATTTGCTATAGCTGGTGTTTTAGCTTACTGGAGATCTAATTTTGTTACCCTCTATTGGTTTCTGGAAGAAGACCAAGCACACATAAGCTATGATTACTATATGTACTGAAGCTGCAGAAGAGCGGCAAGCAGGCTGGACACATGTTGTACTGACTACCATTCAGTAAAAACAATATCACTGTCTGCTTCCTGGTGCTTTGTCACATGCACAAACTGGTTCATAAGGAAGAACAAATGACCTTGTCGCTACCAATTTACCTAGCTCAGCAGTTTTTTCTTGACAGTAACTGAAAAGGACCAGCAGGGAGACTGCCTCGCCTTTCAGAAATATTAGTAAGATCTATCCCACTTTGCCATCTGACTTTGGCAAGCAACCTCCCTTCTTTCTTACCAGTCTGTAATGCTGTAAGAGTGCTGTTGATTGGAATTGTGCATGGCACAGCTACAACAGTGAGTTTCAAAGCTGGAACTACAGTTTTGAATCAGCGCATATCACACATACAGTTACTTCTTTGTCACTACCAATGTGTGATAATACTATGCTTTTTTATTCAAGTAGCAATAAACAGTCCAAAACAATGTCAAAGTAGGGTAGTTCTGGGCACAGTAAAAATGCAGGCTGTGAGAGAGTCCCTAATGTCTTCCCAGTGGGATAGAAATTGTGAATAAGAAGTGACTGTACTTGGAAAGGGTGATGTGAGGAACAAAGAGGTCAAAATGCAGATCCAAAGAAGCACATAGCATCTCCATCTTATTTGCCACTCTGTGTTCCTTGAGAAGGACTCAAATTCCAGCTTTGGGCATTTAGCTGAAGAATGCTGTGTCCCCTAGCTGTGGCACACATGTCAGTTTCCTTTGGTGGTGTGGCCTGCAACCAGGTTTCACCCCAATACAGCAGAGATACATGAGTGGACATACTGATGTCCAAGAATTGGGAATTTTCCATGGAATAGTTGTAGCCATTTGTATTCAGGCCAGTCAAGAGGGTTCTAGCCACTTAGGCTTTGGACTGTAGCGTGGGAGAAAAGTCTTCAAATGTAAAATGATTAGAATGTATCCAAAGGAGGACAAGATGTATGAAGAGAGGCTGAGGCTCCTTGGTTTGCTCAGCCCCGAGCAGAGCAGGCTGAGGGGAGGCCTCATGGCAGCCTGCAGCTCCCTCACGAGGGGAGCGGAGGGGCAGGCGCTGAGCTCTGCTCTCTGGGGACAGCGACAGGACCCGAGGGAACGGCATGGAGCTGGGACAGGGGAGGGTCAGGCTGGGGGTTAGGGAAAGGGTCTGCACCCAGAGGGTGGTCGGGCACTGGGGCAGGCTCCCCAGGGAAGTGGTCTCAATACTGAGCCTGTAGGAGTTCAAGAGGTGTTTGGACAGTGCTCTCAGACATACCATCTGAGTTAACACTCAGACATATGTATGTATGTCCTCCTGTGTGGAGCCAGGCATAGGATGAAATGATCCTTGTGGGTCCCTTGCAACTCGGGATATTCTTGATTCAATGATCTTTTTGAAAATGTAACTTGTTTTTCAGATCTAGCCGTAAGCCCAAGAGTCAGTCCCAGTTTCAAGCATCTCACTTCACTGCATGAGCAGAAGATAATCTGCCTTCCTGTCTTCACACATATCCTTGTTATACCTTGAGGATACAACTGCTGTGGCCCACATGCTGAGGTGTCAGAATTGTTCAGTGAAGAGATCTAAAATAAATGTAAAATGGTAGTGCCATCTGTGCAGCAGCCATGCCTTCAGCACGGCCTCCTTGCAGAATAAAGCTTAGGGTATCTTGCTAACTGTATTTCTGACCATTTTGCTGCCATTTTGCCTCTAGAAAGTTTTAAGCCCATTGATCAGTTGAGGGCATATTTAAAATGGAAGCAGAAGACTTAAAATAAGTTATTTTGAGTTTTATGAAAATGAATAGCTAGATGGGAGATCAAAATTAATGATTCAATTTAGAGTTAAAACATAAGAAGCCACCCTGAAACATTTGGCAATGTCCTGCTAATGGACTGGCTCTCGGATTGGCATACATTGACACAGGGCAAAGACTAGATTGGACCAAGCACTGAACATGCTCTCATCTGGTGAGGATTCATATGAGTATGAGGGGAGTTAGTTTACTTTGTCAGAAGATAAAGATTCAGGAGAAAAAAGACACAGATATGCAGCAAAATACGTGGAAGTAGCTCCTTGAGCAATGTACCTTAATAAAAAAGCTTTACAAAATAAGGCAAAATGACAACCTAAGCTCTTATTTTATTGCTGATACCTGTAACAGACACTAGCAGGATTTCACTGCATTGTTTCTAATGGTAAATCTATTTCTCTAAGCCTGTGTGCCACTTGCTTTTATATTCTCCCTTCATTGTTATTTCCTTTTGTTGTACACTTAGGGATTTACCTCACTTTATCCACTAAAAAACAGGCACCCTTAGCCCTTACTGAAGGAAACCACCTGCAAACAATAATCACCATTATAAATCTGACTGTTGCCAAAATTTACCCAAATTTGAGAAGCTGCCATTTTTTATTTCCTCTTTGCAAAGCTGGAGTATATAAAAGAAGGAAATAATAAAAGGAAGTAAATGATAATGTCTCATATAGCACTGTGGAGAAGCCCTTGCAAATACCAACTTCGTAAGTGACTTCTGTCTTGTGCACATTTGTAACATCTCCTCTTCCATCAGCTGTTGCCATGGCATATGATGGCATACCTGCCTGCCAAACACTTCTTGAGACAATGAAATGCAACATGATCTCATCTCATTCTCTGGAGCACCTGCTTCAGCTTGCTTTCTGAAAAGCTCCACAGAGCGCAGTAATAACCCGCGATTCACCACCTGAAGATCAGCGGAGGGTGGAAAGCAACAAGCCATCGGTGCTGAGCGGGGCACAGGGCCACGGTGGCATGGGGGTATGGGGCTGCAGTGATGTGGGGGCATGAGGATGCAGTGCAGGCTGGTGCTGTGCTGGTGGAGGGATGTGGTGAGGTACCTGTGTGCAAGTGGAGAGAGCCCTCCAGGGACTGAGGTGCACAGGTCAAGCTTTGGTTCTGATCTGGAATGGAAGACGGAGGCTCATCAGAAGGATAGCTGTACGTGCTCAATGACTGCTGCTGCAGGGCAAAAAGGAGAGGAGAAGGCTGGGAAGGAGGTTTACGAAATTAGAAAATATAGCCAAGCCTGAAAACTATCCAAACCAGGCAGCCAGACAAATTGCAGAGCTTCCATAAACGACAGATAGCTGTGGCAGGAAACGCAGACAACGTGAACTGGAAGTTGTTTTTATGACTTGCAGGAGAAATGACTATCAAATTATATATAGCATAGGCTAAATGAGCCTTGGGGTAACAAGGAAGTGTATTCTTACTCACACAAGGAATGGTCTCAGAGTTAGTTGGGTATTGCCCTCAGCGGAGCAAGGGAAGAAGGGGGCTGTGATGCAGAACTTGCAGACTTTCTTATAAG